ACATCCTTAATGAAGTATCACTGCATGGGATTTAGTCATGGGTAATTGGATCCTGCTGTTAACATCTATTGGATCTTTTAACCTTTTACAGAAAAGTTACAACCAAAGCTACGAGCGGAAGGTGGAGTTAAGGCGTTACAAGGAATGGTCAGATCCCGACATCCTGATGTTCTGGCTCAAGTTGCTCGTGGAATTGCAAATTTTGCAAAATGTGAATCAAGGGCATACACTCAAGGTTAGTTGTATACACACTTGCTTTATCTCTGCTCCTTTTCTCCTGCCTCTCCTCCTCACTTCCTGCACCACCAACAAAATTCCAGAATAGATTTCACTGTGCTGATAGCAATATTATAGTCAGTATATCATAGTTTTTGTACTAGTCTCCACATATACACAGTTGGGATGGTGTATTGCATGTTCTAGCGAAGAGAGAAGTCTCACTACTATAGTTTCGTGGCACTGCCAATGATTACTATGACAGGAAGCAAGACAGGAAAGTCTCTCCTTATTGAAGATGGAACCCTTCCATGGATTGTACAGAATGCTAATAATGAGGCATCTCCAATAAGGCGTCATATTGAGCTGGCACTCTGCCATTTAGCACAACATGGTAAATAGTGGTTCTGGTTTAGCTTTAACATTTTGCTTGAAACTGTGGATAGTGATTCTGATTTAATTTTTTTCATGAATTCTTGAAACTGCTAATTACAGAAGTAAATGCAAAGGATATGATCAAGGGAGGTGCCTTGTGGGAGCTTGTTCGTATATCCAGAGATTGTTCACGAGATGATATAAGGACTCTTGCATATCGCACTCTAACCTCCAGCCCAAGTTTCCAGGCAGAGTTGAAACGCCTGAGGATAGATTATGGTTGAACATTGACATGTGTTATTTAGAATATATAGTTATTAACATAGGTAGCTGATTCTTTTTCCACAGAAACAATGTTTTATGGTGACACTGGTTTCGAATCCTCTTAAACTCTCGTTGATGCAGTGTCAGTTAGGATAACTAGTTTGCAGCTAACAGAAACAATTAATTTTGTAAATTTGCTTGAATTAGGAGGGTAGGTATCAGCTGAGCCAGGATCATTATAATGTAAAGCTTTGATTATTTTTATTCATATATCAATTGAAGCGTGCAACATGTCATTTGTCAAGGGCGAAGTTCAGAGTCGCCGGAGCTCAATTGGTCGACGACGCCCGTCAAACACGGCTGCTGGTGTAAACGTTCTAATCCTAAAGCTCATATTTTATAACTTATTATCTTCTGTCATTTCTTTGTTTATTCTTTTAAGTTATTGATTGGTGTCCTTTTGCATTTGAAATGTTCTGTTTGGAGGTAGTGTTTGTCCTAGCTCTCCATTTGGCAATAGAATTGTATGCATTGCTCAAGATCCGTTTAGTCACTGAGTGATTGTTTTTTTCTTTATACTTTTGGAGAGGTGTGAGTCCTACGATGGAGGAAAGAGGAATCAAGGAGAAGACATTTGAATACAAAATGAAATTACAGGATTTACATACGGACAAGTCTTGTAGCTAAACAATAAAATCAAAGCTAATCTTATTTAGCAACAAAATAAATGATAAATTATCACAAAAAAAATATACTCCTATGTTAATTAGCTATGAGTTATCTAGTGATAGATTAGCAATGAAGTTTATCACTAGTTTCAGTTTATTTTATAGGTGTTGAGTGAGAGTCAATATCCTAGGGTTTGAGACTCATTTTGACTTTAGAAAAAAGGACATAACAACTGCCCCTTAGCACATCTTTTTCTTCTAGCCAATTGATTGAGAAGCAATATCCACAAGCATAAGCATTATGGAGAAGACAAGTTGAACAACTTGCCTCTTAACACTTGTAAAAAAAAAAAGCAATGTTATCTTGTGATGCAAATTGCCTTTGACTTTATTTGCTTCTTGAATAGCTAGCTGGTACAGCACATTTATAAACCTTACCTGATGCAACACTAGAATCATTTTTAAATTTTTTTAATACGTAATTGGTAGAGACTTCAAAATGTTTCAGTAGGCCCATGGTGTTGTATGAAGGATCCCACCCGCACCCAATTATTATCGCACTTGGGTGGAATCCTTTCTTTTTAATGATCATTTAAAAATATTTATGAAGAGTTCGAGCTAACATAAATACTGGTTTATTTAGGGGTATGGGCTTTTAAGCATAGATGGAAATTATGAAGATGAACCACAATACCAAAGCAATTGTGTATCCTATTCCTTCCCCACCAAAAAAGTCATTATACATTTCACATTGACCAAAAACATATGATGGATAATACCTTAATCCCATGAAACAGACAACTCATATTTGAATAAAAAGTGTTCAAAATAAAAGCAATGAAACATAGGCTTACGTCCAATCATTTGCAGACCTAAATGAATGGACACAATTGGCAATCCCCATTTCCAGTTTCTATTTTTATTTATTTTTAAATATATATTTTTTCAGTAATTCCTATAGGACCCTCAAAAAAGCATAGCCACATTCAGAAAAAAGAAGAAGTAAGACTGAATTAACAAGCAAGAAAAATTATTTAAAAGGGAAAAAATGGAAGAGGATGAGAAGGTTACAACTTAGAAGAACAAATCTATATATATTTATACAACTTTTTACACACTAAAGTATAAGATTACCTAAAAGGATAATTGCAGGTAACCGTAAAGTAAAACTAATAACAAAATGAAAAATAAGACGATAGAGTTACTTATTATGTAATATTGTAGAATGCATGTTCCTTCTAAATAATTCGAATTTATTTCGTCTACTATTTTAATTAAATCACTACAAAGGTATGCGAGCTAGCTCTTCCTTATTTGTTTTGCTACCTTCATTATTATTACTAGGATATGTGATACTTTATTACACCCCACATGTTCGATGGTATGAGTGCTGCAAGCACAACAAAGGAGAAAAGGAGTGTGTGGTTTCTTTTTTTTCGATTGAGTCAAATTCAGGATTTAAATTCTTAAAAGTTATGGATTACTGGGGGTGTGAATGATTCATATATATATCCACATTGAGAAAAAGCAAAAGGTGAAGAAGTCCTTGAGAGTTTGTCTGAGTAATGTCTATATTAATTTAATTTAGAGAGAGAAGAGGGATAGAATGGATAAGGCATAGAATATCTCAAGATGTTACATATATATTTAAAATATACAACAACACATGAGTATTGATAGCTACATGGGTTGTTGCACTAAAAGCAAGCAATGTAATGACTAGGGGAGTGTGTTGTGGGGAGCTATATCTGTATGTATGCATCTATTGCTTTGGTGCAAAGAATCTCAGCTTTTTGCTTCACATTCAACTTTAAAATAACACAACAAATAATATGCACATATATATTTTATTTGATCTGATTGTATAGATATATATTTTTTACACCATCAATGTATAAAACTTAAACTTTTTCTCTTGCATGCTTCATTCCTAAATGTGTTTAACTTCTATATAGACATTGACTTACATAATCAAATGATCACTAAGATTTTCTTTTTTATGTCATTATTCATAAGATGAGAGGAATTGGTAACTTGAAAAATGTCATTATAGTGGCATCCCAAACTATAAATTTTAAACCCTCAATCTATCTTTGTATATACTACGCTTTCGATGCATATATATATATATAATGAGAATTATTGAAAACAACCTGAAATTGAACGTGAATTGTTAGTTTTATTTCCGAATTATTAATAGCCTTAAAAACACCCTTTTACTTGACTAACTGAACTTAAATACATTTTCGATCTTATAACATGAGTGAAACACACCCCTAAATTCTCGTTAAGTTTAGGGGTATTTTCAACACTTATTTCAGTTTTTTATTAAGAGTTTCATGCTCCTACAAGAGTTTGAATCCATTTGTTATGTCATGTGGCAGATGGAGGGTGTATCTAAGTTTAGTAAGTCAAATAGAGGTGTGTTTTTAAGACTATCAATAGTTTAAAAATAAAATTAACAATTTGTATTTAAACTAACAATTTGTATCAAGTTCAGAAGTGTTTTCGATAAGGCTAGACGTTATACTTTGCTTTTGCCTCGAAAAAGAACCATATTCTTCAGTAACTGATGCACGTGCATTCCACATGCAATTCATGTCTCCCCCTTCATAAAAACCCTAATTATTCTTCAACAAGATAGGCAGAAAAAAAAAACTTGATTTTTTTTAAAAAAAATTTTGGAAAAGAAATAGAAGAAAATATGTTGAAGAGTTTCACATCGGACATAATGTGACCCATACCCTCTCCTAATTTTGTCTGTCCATAGTTTGCTACCAACCCCTCATTAATGAACCAATACTTATAATTAATACTATTACAGCTCGGTGAACTAAGCTCCTCTTGTATGCGGAGTTTGAGGAAGAGCTAGACTCTAAAGAATATTATTATATGCGGTCTTATCCTGTATTTCTGACAGAAGAATATTTAATACTACTACTATTATCAAGAAAAACATTGTTATTATTGCCATTATCACAATTATATTATCATGATTATGGAATAATGATGCTCTTTTCCAATCAAATGAATCTCATATATATATATATATACACAATCATGGGTTTTTCAAGAAAATCATGGAAAGAGAGTTGGAAGTTATGGGAATGCCAAGAATTTAATAAGATAGATATCACCAAGAAAACTGTGAATTTACAAAGTTAACTTCATTTGATGATCAAATTACATCCACCACATCATTGATCATATCAAAATCAAACTCATTATCACAATCCAAAAGAAAAAAAACTAACTGAAAATGCAAAACACTAAACTCAAAAAAATGTGAAGTAATTAAAACGAAATCAAAGAAACTCGAAAAACCCTTTTCCTAAAAATCATTGCTAAGTGCTCTTGATGAGAAAGAAAAGAGAAAAAAAGACCTCAAAAGAGTTAATTTATAAGCTAATAATTAAATCAAGAGAAAACAATTACCCTTTCTATGTATGATGGATGTCATCCTTGCACATGGGCCATCTTGTCAATTTTCTCTGTATCGTTCCAATTTTATATCTTGCATTAGAATGGAGGTCTTCCGGTTGCCCAATAGGGTTCGGAAGGCAACTGAATGGAGTTTAGAAGATTAGGTGGCATCCCATGAAATAAAGATGGGTCCGCCATCATTTGTTGTTGTTGTCCTCCTTGACCCCCGATATTTCCAGGAGGAGATCCCAGTGATCCTCCTCCTGGAACAACTGGAAGAGGATGATTTTGATCATCCTCTTCCAAAGGAAGTCTTTCATAAGCAGCATTACTAAACGACGCGGACATAATGACAACTGGTCCAGATGCCATAAGTGCACCTACAACACTACCACCAACAACTTGACCTTGTCCGCCTGCTAAATATATAGTCAACCCTGACGTTGTTGGTGGTGCTGGTGGTGGTAAAAACGATCCGGCTAAGGATAATATCTCAAATCTACCATGTAATGTTACAATTGCACCTGGTGAAGCTGGTTGTCTTAAATTAACATTAGTAACAATACCAGTTCCACTCATAATACAAACCCCTCTTTGTCTTCTCCTTGCAAAATTTGATATACTTTCCATAATATCACAACCATCAGCAATTTCCATAACATGAGTTCTAAGAGCATTTGCACTATCTCTAGTTATGATAATTGGTGGTTTAGGTTTGTTCTTGGATCCAGATGGTCTTCCTCTAGGTCTTCTACTCATCTCTCCTTCTCCTGAATTTCCTGTTCGTTTGAAGATATAATTAAGTAATTAAACGTGTGTACTAAATTCACTTTACATAACATGAGTCTAAACTTTCATATGAGACATAATTAAGTAATATATATGAACTCTCTATAACAACTATAAACAGGTTAAACTTTCAGATGAGACAGTCATACAATTCAAACACATGTTATACCTAATCCATCTTTCGATTCTCCACCGTTTGAATTTTCATTATTGTTGTTGTTGTCATCGCGATCTCTCTTCTGACCAGACATGTTGAGACCACTTGTCCCACTTTGTTCATCTTCTGAGTTTTGATGGAATTGATGTAAGTTGAAGTCTCTAGTGTGGAAAGGTGGAGGAAGTGAATGGTTCATTTGATCCATAGAGAGATTCTTTTAACTTCAATTCTACCTTGAGATGGAAATTAGGTTGAAGTTAAGGAAAAAAATGGAAGCAAAAGCAAACCTAAGCTAAAGGGGAATAAGGGTTTGTAAAGAATATAGATAGTGGGGGAAGAGAGAAGCTTAAAAAAAGGAATAAGGGGGAGTAGACTTTGGGTTGCTTGGTCTTATTTTTGTTTTTCTCTTTCTTGTTTTGTGGCTTTTTTTGAGGAAAGGGGCTAGTGTTGTTTATTGAATCAAGGTACTCATAGTCTTCATCATAAAGAAAGGGAATTTTAAGTGGGGTTTTGGGTGTCATCCACCAAGAATTCTCACTAATAATCTCATAAAAACTCTTCATCATCATACTATAATCATCTTCTTCTTGTATATCATGAGCTACCACAAGTGAATCTTGAAGATAGTTTTTTTTTAGGACTTGTGGTGTTCGAGTTAATTTTCACGCAGCTCGATTAATTTTACGAGATATTTGTCATTTCTCACCAGCAAAAGTACCAGCTAACTCTAATGTCTAATAAGGTTTAGACAGATGGCAAGAATCATTTAGTATTTTTGTCTCCGTTGGAAAAAAAAATCTTAAAAAAGGGTACTAAATTTGAGTTAGGGTTAGCTAAAAAAAACTTATATTAGCTAGAGAAATAGATTCAAATGGAGAAATATTAAGTTTTTTTTTTTTGGGCGGTGGATGGGTCCTCTGTATTTTCCTCTTACATACTTCTCGTAGGTGTTTATAATAAAGTAATCAATGAGATTTTTTTTCTAATATCATAAATAACATATGAAGAACCCATCATGCAATATTTCAACATTTTTTGTCATTTTGTTTGGGCATGTCTCAATCAATTAATTTCTATTTCTTTTCCTTTGACCATAAAAAGGGGAAGAAAAGAAAAAAAAAGAGATAAATTAAGGAAAGGAAATCTGTTTCTTCTCTTCACACACTCAGATATATATACTCATATTTGATTGGTTAAGGTTTTCTTATTTTCCTTTTCGTTACCATATTATATTACTTTCATGTTCCACACAATATAGCACCACACACTAAAAGAAAATTGGAATAATTCCTAAATTATTCGTAGCTAATAAATTATTTTAATAATCTATCGTTAATATGTAAAACTAGTAAATGAATTTATTTTTTATCGTTACAAACTTATCTATAATTGAAATCATACATAAATCTCGTCCTAAATTCGTCACATGAAGCTAAGTAATTTCTCCGTAGCTGTCGCTAACTAGTTTCTCATTTGCATTTGTCTTTTATAATAAAGCGTGATAAATAAAAATGAACAGAATCATATCAACATGAATTCACGTGATGAAGTAAATAAGTGAGGCTAGTGAAGTGAAGATAAGAGAGAATGATGGTAAGAAGTAGAAGGAAGGGAAATAATAGGTGTCAAAATTAAATTGGATTGAAGAACGTGTGCAGTGAATATAGTTGCGCTTCGTGCTGTTATAAATTTATATAGATTATATCATATAGTGTATATTTAAGATGGTAAATAATTGTGTGGTGAGCTGGTAAAGTCTTCAATATTTTCAAGAACCACATGCACCATATCCTCTGCACCCCTTCTTATCTCTTTCTACCTCTTTTAATTTTTGTGTCCATAATGGGCTCCACAAATTTACTTATTTTAATAAAAAAAAATGACACATGTCAACTCCCCCGCATTCCATTCAATGGGTGTATTCTTTGAACTTTATTCTAAAACTCTTTGGTCCTAATTGGCTCTCAATTAGAACACCAGAATTTATGTTTTAATGTAATGAGTTTATATTAATTACATAAATGTAATTATTATGAATTTTTATTTATAATTGATGTTAATTTTTTTTCCATATTTTATCTGGCTCTTTTTGATTTGGTATTGCATTTATGAAAAAAAATAAATTAAAATTTGTAATTTAAAATAATTTTTAGATATTTGTATGACTGAGAATCATTTCGGTAAGAATAGTCATAAGACTATCACATCAAATGAGACTTTAGGAATGGAGGATTCTTTTGTTAGGCCATCAGACCATGATGATCCATATGCATAAGTGTAATTCAAATTTAATATTAATAATTAGTGTTCTAAATTTAACTTTGAACTAAAAAATGGTCCAGTTTGGCAAACTCACAAAACTCCATTTCCCAAATCATATATTCATCTAGAGGTACGCCTGGGCAGAAGAGGTCGTTAGAAAATTTCACGGTATATATAAAATTAAGTTATTTTTTATGTATATATAATAAATATTGAACTCTCGACTATTTTTACTTGTTACATTAGTTTTTTTTTTCACTGATAAAATATTGTTATTTCATGGTTATATAAGAGCATCAACATAGTCTATGATCACTATCAAGTTGCATATATACTATATAATATAAATAATATAAAACCAGAAAGAGTCCACAATTATTTATTTCCAACATGCATACAGATGCTATATATAGTAAGAATAGAAAAAACAAACTCAAAGACATAATGCTAGCTGGCCCAATTATATATATACTGTATATTGTATATAAAATGTTTGGATCAATTGGTTAATAAATATAATCAATTACTTTGCATGTTAATTCCACTCATCTTTGCCAGCCTATTATGATTATACTTTCACAATATATAATTCTAGGTTGATAATTATATTATAATTAAAACAAAGTGATGTTCAATGGTTTGCATATAAATAAATAAATTCAACATAAAGTATTAAAGTCAATTTGCCAACTAAAAAGGAACTTAATAATTTTTTTTGTTCCATACAAGAAACAGAAACTCTAATATTTTATGTATAATCACCAATACTTAAAAAAACTGAGCTCGTTTATTTATTAAAAACAAGATAATCAGATCGATAACCACCAAATTAACATACTCCTAGATAGACTATGTTATAATAAAAAACTAAATGATAAATACGACTTATCACTTAAAAAAACAACACAAAACACTTATCAATTATTCAAATTGACATTACTCTAACGACGATATATACACGCATCACATTTTAATCCAATGTACCAAAACTTTTTCACTGAATATCTTAATTATTATGTAATCTTTGTATTATAATTTTGTCACTATAATCAAGAATTTCCAACATAATTAGGTTAAATGATTGTTGGTGAATAGAGAGTATTATTATCAAGATTCAATCTATAGTAATAATACATTTCTTTCATTTCAATTCAAGTTAGCTTCAAAAGAATGACGTACATGCTTCTATATGAGTCTGTCTAAAGTCGATAAGATAATAAAATTTAAATCTTAAATCTGTTATATACGTAAGCGGCATGATGGTGAAGATTTGACTGGTTAAAAATATATGAAAGAGCGTGCAACGCGAAGGTAGCGCTGACACAAAGCAGGCCACGAGCGTTCCTCTTTCACTCCAATTGCCACTACCACTCTTTGATTGGCCTTGAAGACAACACTAACTGTTTTTTTTTTCACTTTCCCTATTCATTTTACTTGGATTCTTTCTATACATCATATGGTCCCTACTCTTGTAAACGATCACTTCGTTTTAATTTGTTTATCTGATTTTAATTTAATATAAAGTTTTAAAAAATGATTAATCTTGTGGTCTTTATAAGTTAAAGATACTATTCGATCCATTTTAGTTTGTTTGTCTTGTTTTCTATTTTAGTCTGTTTAGAAAAAAGAATAAATTCGGGGCGAATTATTAATTTCATCCTCGAACTATTGACCGTCTTAAAAACAATTCATTTACTTGACTAACTGAACTTAAATACACCCTCAATCTTGAAACATGAGCAAAATACACTCCTAAATTCTCGTCAAGTTTAGGAGTATTTTCAACACTTTTCTCGACTTTTTATTAATCATTCTCCAACAAGAGTTTGAGACCACTTGCTACGTCATGTGGCAGATCAGAGATGTATCTAAGTTTAGTTAATCAAGTTGAGGGGTGTTTTTCAGGTTGTCAATAGTTCGGATATGAAACTAATAATTTGTCCAGGTTCGGAGATGTTTTTGATACTTCTCTCAAAATCATATGATTAAAGGGCAAATGTCCTTTAGTTTTGTAGTTTTAAACATATAACAAGGAACGTTGAAATTTTAAAACAGACTAAAAATAAAAATAAGACAAATAAACTGAAACGAAGTAAATGACTTTTTTTCACTCTGTTTTTCCCTCGCATGATCTCTTTTTGGGCGAAAAAACTGGGTAAAGATGCTCTTTGTCGGCTCATTCTCCTTGCCAGGCGAACACATATGAGTACTAAAAAATAGGGTAAATTTTGGTCCCCATCTTCACATCTTGTTGCTTATATTGATGAATGCATCTCATGTCAAACTTACATACTGTCATAAACCAAAGTTCCATCATCCAATGCTTCATATTTAAGAGAACCAATGGCATGTCAATTGGATTCATTCATTACACACACCATATACCCCCCAACGTCCACAATCATTTAATGTCTAAGTCGCAGAGTCAGAAATTTGAATAAAGAAATTGAAAATATGAACGTGTTTCAACAAACATAATTCAATTGAACTCTATTCACGATTAGAGTTTAGACATTGTGATAATTTTGAGGTGAAAGTGAATTATGAAATCTATAATATCGATAGAACCTAATTAACTAGTTACTCTCTTTGTCCCAATTTATGTGACATTTTTTTATTTTTCGAGAGTCAAACAGTTTAAGTTTGACCGGCAATTTACGCATGGAATCTTCAAATTTTTTGAAATGAAATTTATATATTTATAAACTACGTAAAAAGTACTATAAGTCACAATAATTGACAATTCAAAATATTTAAAGATGTATGAAAAATTTACGATCAAAGCTAGACTTGTTTGAATCTCGAAATTCGAAAAGTGCTACATAAATTGAGACGAATGGATATAATCTTTTGAACATTTATAATCGTTTTTTTGTATTCTATATTTGAGACGAAAACATATCTAGAAATGGCATAAATTTGACATTCTATGTTAGAGTTGTTGCCCTTATATATTGTTTATTGTTTGGGTGCACAAGTACAAGTACTATACACTATATAGCATATATAAAGTCTCCATAGCCAAGTATATATCCACTAGACAAAAAATTCATGCACATGCAAATTTGAGGTCTTCAAGAAGATACAGATATTGATCTATCATCCATGTGTTATCGGAATATAATAAAGCA